TACATTATTTTTCTACTGCTAATGCAGATTAGAAGTAACAACATAGATTTATTCTGGCAATAAAATGCTTTCATTTTAATAACATCCCAGAAAATATTTGTAAGGCATATGAAAAATAGTATGTAACAATATAGTATTAATGATCCTGCATCTTTAATACACCCCTTATGCATACAGAATTCACACTGATTTCAGTTAAAAGTGTGTGGAAGTGGCATGCAAGTAGGGCAAGAGTGGTTCCTACATAAATACAGAAATAGCCATTTGTTGAGAAACCTAAGTGTTCAAAACATAACCGAGACCACTTACAAAGTATTGGAAAACTAGAGGCCAGTCACTTTCGGTTTTTAGATAGTTCCCATTTTAACTTAGAATTTTCAAATGAGGAATTATTAGTGTATTCCCCAAAGCACTCTAAATTCATTAGTAATGTTTTCTACCATCTTTCTGCAAACATTCTACATACATCAAAAGAAACAAAGGAACATTTCATATGTAACTGTGACTCCTCAAATCTCATTGCTATTCATTTTTATTTACACATTTTTAATGACAAGTGGGAGGTACAGCCCTTAGTTAAGTTTATTTGATGATATATCTTCTATTCTTCTCATAATGTCCCTCAGTTACATGAAGCATTTGGGATTAAGTCATCCACAAGTTGATAAAGATAATTGCTATAAGAAGACATATTTCATTTGAGAAACTGTTTTGATGACAGAAGAAACTTTTAGAAAGTAATTTTTGAATTCTGTGGCTCTGTCTGACCATATAAACTAATTTTACTACTTTTGACTAACTTGATTGCTTAAGTCAATTAAAAAAAAAGAAGTTATCCTTATTGTCTGTCTGACAACTATTGCTTTGACTGGTTTGATCATGATTACCATTCAGAAGAGGACCGTTCTCTGCCCTATAGTCACAGCTTCAGTGAGTAGTAACAGTTTTAGTATTAACAGTATTTAAAGGTATGAGGAACTAATGAAGCAAATCTTATTACATAATTTCCTCTAAAGTTTTTATTCACATAGTCATTCAAAGGTGTGTTTTATATAATTAAAAAAGAAAACAGCATTCAACATTGTCATGAAAGACAAAGGCAGAGATATAAAAACAATAAGGGGTACATTTGCATTTCTTTGAAACATTTATATAAACTCTATCCAATTACCTGGGAGTTGAAGATACTATCCTTATGCAGTAAATACTCTATGTGTCCACAGCAGAAATCAAGCATCAGCAAAATCTGAGTTGCAAACCAGCTGCACTTAAACCTCAAGTCTCCAGATCTACTACTCTCTTTTAGACTTAAGAGCTAGATATTATAATAAATGGCACACAAAAGGCAAGTCGCTTGCAATTCGTTTTGTTCCCTATGATGACTTATTTATTAAATTAACTTTGTCTCATGATAACTAAGAACTCATTAAAGAAAACTTCAGTAACAAGGAAGCGATGAAAGGGTGACGAGTATTTTGGAAACGGTTTAAAATCTAAAGGGAAGATACCTTTTAACATTTTATGCATTTAGTTTTGCAGCAAGGTTAGTAGTAGAGTAATAAATTTCACCACTACTTATTGATAAGTGTTTTTCTCTTTAAAGACAGACTGCCTTCTCTAGAGAAGAGGTAGTACAGATATCAATATAGAGAGCAATTTCTGAAGTGGTAATACATTGTTTTATTTTTTTCGATATTAAAATAAAATTGTATAACTAAGAAAATACACTAGCATGCAAATTAAGGTTGCCTAGAAATATTCTTAACTGACATCCTGGTTCTCAACAACATTTTATGATATGTTCATTTAAAGGATTTAAATTTGCAAACCATCTTTTGGCATAATTTCCCTTCTCTCCCTCCCTTTAAATGCCCCTACCTCCTATTATGAATTTTAAGGCCCCTACACAAAAGACAAGTTCAAGTATGCAGGAATGAAAAGAGGTTAACATCCAAAAATACATTTGCAAACAACAACAATAATAATTAAATAAAAAATTACTTAAGGGGAACAAATAATTTTCTCAGAATTTGTTTTATATTTTAAAAACTCATTTCATTAAGGACTAAATGCAATGACTTACATCGTCACATATTTAAGAGTCTCTTATTAGGGAAGACCCGCAGTCAAATTGTTAACAATTCCAATTTTCTTTCCAATAGAACTGTATAAAGATAATAGAGACTCATCAAGTCATTTATAAACATTGCTAAGTGCTGCTTTACATATCGGAGTGAACAAAATAATGTTGTTGATTGTATTGGAATCACATTATAGTCGTGAGAATTAACATCAGGATTGGCAAATTGCATCCTTTTGTTCCAGGACTGCATTTCCACATTGTCACCTGAATCTACACTGTTACAAGTCACTTGATAGAAATTATAGAATTTTAATATATGATATATGCTATGAGTTAAAATAGCTTCTAAATACTGTAAGACTTGTTTCTCCTGCTTATTATCATTTGCTATTTTAAAATAAAATCAATACAAAATGAAGTATTTGTGGAATATGTATTTTCCAAAGGTGCTAGGGTGTGCCTGGCAAAAATAAAACTTTTTTATTTAGTATATATCTGTATTTTGCTATCATTTACACAATAAACTCTACTGCTTAAAAAAAAGGAAGATGCATATCTCTTGTTCATTTGGAGAAGAGAAACTTATTACAAAAGGAAGGGAAGAGGATATGCCAAATTAGAATAAAAATTAAAATATATCCCTCAAGAAAATATACATTATACCCTTTCCAAGATTGTTAGTTTTTGAGTAAGAATATAAAGCAAAACAGGTATGGACACTCGATGGTAAATGATAGATTGGTTTTGTGCACAGATATTGAATGAGCCTCTCTCTGGATCAGCATGACATGGAAGACTTAGAAAAAAAAGACTTTGAGAGGCCTTTAAAAATAAGTGACTTTTAAAAAGTTTGAAAGAAGATGGTAATCTTATTAACTACAAAATATATGTAAATGCTGTTGCAGCTACCTGCCATAAAATGTAAATATCTTAAAGTAGTTAAATGACCCGATTGCTAATGCTACTACAGAAAAAGCCGAACAGCTGTCTAGTCTAAATTTATACACCTTTGTGCACTCTTTGCAATTAAATATTTTAATGCTCACAAACAAGAAACCAGTAAAGCATATAGAAAAATGTTTTTGGCTAATGTTTTCTTTCTCATGCAAATATGTGCTGTACATGTAATAAATATAGTTTTCTTTGCTGGAAAATGCTCTTCTGTGCTCTAACAAAGTATTCAGTAATGGCAGGTTATATGTTTATTAAAATGCCTAATGAAAACCTCTTTTAAATGTCTTAACTGAAAGTTCTGTAAGCTTCTCTAGAAGACAAAAGAATCTCATAAGCCAATATCACATGTTAACTTTTAAAATTTACTGAGCCCATATTTCTTAATTGTATGAAATGTTTCAGATGACTTATATAATTACAGGCATCCTCATTATCAGCTAAACAGGTTCAAAATGGGGTACAAGCAGTGAACATGAGGACAGGGTATGTGGTGTGGTCATTAATATGGTTGAAGATATGTGTAACTAATCAAGAATATGGAGCTTACTTTGATGGTCAGGAATTATTTCACTGGTACATGCTTTCAGAGCATAAATATTGAAAGGCTGGTGGGGGAGCGTGGGGGGAATAAGATAATACAAAATTACTATTGTTTTCCAAAAAATAGGCTTCATGACATGAACCAGTAGAAAAGGATTTTTATGGCCAGTGCTATTGGGATTTTAGAAAATGCATGCATTTTGGAGTTTTAGAAACAAGACTCTTTTCTTAAAGAGATTTGTTTATTATATAAAAAGGTCAATTTCAATAACTTCTTGGACCGTAGTGAATCTAAGGCTTCCTTGATGTAAAACATAACATCTCCAATTTCATAACTGTAGCCACTGAAAAAACTGTGAAGACTTAGTGGGTGAAGAAGAGTGCTCATCAGAAATAAGGCAGCTCAATCTCCAAATTCTTTACTATTCTCTGCATTAAAAAAGCAATAATTTAGTGAACACGTGTATTCTGCATCCAGGAGTTTTTTTACTGCAAGCTCTGAAATTCTAATCATTTGTTTTAATTTTTTGCAATGAATCATTTTGTATTAACACAGCTTTCAATATCAAAATTGAATGTGTTTATGTAAAACAAAAATCCTTGGTGCAATTATAAAGAATTTGGTGAAGGGCTAGAACATTCAGCTATTCAAAGACAGAGACTGAGTGAAGCAATGGAAAGGTGCTCAATTGTGCTGGTGGGAAAAACTAAACCCGTGTTTGTGGTTAAATGGGATAGGTGACTTCCCATCTGGAGTTGTTTAGCTTTGTTCTCAGGAGGATCTGTGCCACATCCTTACTACCTGACTTTAGATTTCTGGATGTATGTAGCTGTGCTCAGATTAATTAAAGGGGAAATAACACCCCATTTTCCATTTTGTAAGACCAGCTAAGCTTGGGCCTTCATTTACTATTCTCTCTCATTGCTGAAGAAATTTTGAGTTTCATTGCCAACTTCAGAGGAACTAACAGTAGTGACTAAACAAAAAGCAAAACACTTTGAATACAACAACTGTGCCAGGAAAGAAATAAAAATATTAAAATCTGAGGAAACTATATAATTGCTGCATTAATTTGAGTTTTTTCTGGCACTATCAACACATTTGGTAAGTCTGAAAAAGCCATTCTGGCAATATCAACATATATTAAAATATTTATACATTCCGACTTTAAGCGTAAATTTTGATTCCAGCAAATAAATACCATGGCTGGTTTTGGCTTCTATTGGTATTCTGATTTTCTTATTAATTAGGTTTTTTTTTTTTTTCAAATTTTTCAGTTGATTGCAACATGCTCAAGTAGACTTTCTAGTCAATTCACCCAAATTCCAACAGGAATTGGTTTATAAATTGGTTCCAACTGGAACTGGTCATTTGGAATTTCCAGCATGGGAAATTATTTTATATGTGCCTTGATCAGTACCCTAAATTACAAATTGATGTGTCTAAATCTAATGAAGAAAACAAAAGGTACTGTTATGTAAATGTTGCACTTAAAAATATCTATATGATTGGGCATCTAATATCCATCTAAAAGTAAGGGCATAATGTACATTTTTTTTTTTTGTCCCCTACTTAGCATCAAATGACAGCAGCCCATAGCACAGTAAACACTGCGCTGTACCTGCCAAGTTAAGATGATTTGTTTATCCTAGCAGTGCTATGGCAAATTGTCAACAGATGAATATTTTTTGTTTGTTTGTTTCTGCAGACTCAAAGCCTATGTCGGGAGTCATGGCTATATCCCCCAGGTGATCCTCGGTTCCTATGGGGTTTGTAAGTGTCCTGATATGAATCAGGGTAATCTTCTTCCACAAGAGGGTAATGATCTCGGCTGTGCTGGGAACTGGAAGACAAGCGGTTCCTACTCTTCCGAGCCCTTTCATTGTGATAATTTTCATCGGAGGTCATTAAACTTCGTCTTTCAATTGGAGAGTTCTCTGTGGAGTGGTTGCTGTGCCTCATACGCTGACTCTAAAAATATCAGATAGTTCATTGATTAAATAATACCAGCTTCATCCATCTTGAATATGTAAATGTATGTACAATCATAAGATCTGTACAATAAGATGTTATATATCTGACTTAATAAGGCATTTTGATGCACGTCTGGTCCACTCAACACATCTGGTCTTATTTATTTGGAACACAAAATGCAAAAGATGCCAGAGTGCTGACAGTTTATGAATTTAATTACATAGCATAGCACTGCATGACTATTGCACTACTTCCTATTAAAAATATAGAACTGAAAATTAACTGTTGAATAAAACTTAATATATTGAGGAAGGTTTAATAATTCCACTTTTATTGCAAAAAGGATGATTATTTTACTACAGGAGAAATAAAATTCAGAATAACATCTACTGTTCTATTCCTTTCTTGAACTTTTAAAATTTTTTCTCCTCCTCACCTTGATCTAACCAAATGTTACCTATACCTTTTTTTAGATATTTTAATGAGATCATCTTTCCTGCCAATAGAGTAATGTGTTTGTTTTGGCATCTTACATAAATATAAGACTCTCAACAATATTCTTTCCAAAGGAGTATACAGTATGTTTGAAGCTACCTAATTAATACATTTATAAACCTTGCTTCCTTAATGCAAATGTCCTGCAAAAATAATCTTCAGTTATGAACTAAATTCCTCTAATACTATTCATTGAAATTAATAGCTTCAGAGACTATTTGATGGCTTGGGAACTGTTACTCAAATTTTTTCTTCACATTCTGGGAGAACACGTATCATAGTTGTGTCTACCTACTTAGGTAGGTCACCTCAATTAAGCTACAGGATTCTGAAGAAGCCAAGGGCTCAGATGCAAATCTAAAAGACACTTAGCTTCACGCAGAAGGAAAGTCATTTGAAGGCCACAGGCTATGCCCTTAGCCCCAACCAGGTGTCTAATAAATAAGTGCCAGTGGGTAGTGGGAGAAATAGGCCACAGGATAAAAGGCACCATATTAACTATTAACAAAACTGAGAGAACTACTCTAACTGATCTTAGAGATAAGACTGTTGTATTCAGAAACACTGCAACATTTCATTTCTGCCTGTGTTATAGAACATATTGCTTCATGCATCCATTTCTCATGTCACAATGTACATTTCAGAGCCAACTCAAACTAGTCATTGGAAATGCCACACTCAAATCAGCCTACAGGAAGTGAAACAAGACAAGAAATAGTCTGGGTGCATACCTATATACCGTACATTATAATAGTACACTTTGCATGTTAATTTCCAGCCTCCAAAACTATTCATTTATATGGCAGTTTTTTCTGCTTACGAAGACGCAATTTTCAAGCAGAGTAATACAGTTATAATAGCATTTCAGAGTGTGCCATTTACCTCAGAGTTAACTCTACATGATGTACAATTACGACTATCTTTATAATCCATTAAAATAAAACTAGTCATGATACAAGAGGGCTCAACTGACTACATGTTTCAGTCAGCTGGGGGTTTGGCCAAATTCCAGCAGCTGCTTGATGAAGGGTAAATAATAACTAATGTAGAAAGGTGGATTCATTTTATATCGTAATGCCTCTGGCTCCTCACAGTTAGTTCTGAGCCCAGCACTGGAACAGTGGAGAAGAGACTCCCCTCCTCCTGTGCTCATCCCCAGCTTCCCTAAAGGACACTTGCCATAGCTGCTGACCACGGTGGCCTCCATGAGTGCTGAGGGCTGCTGCTGCACACCTCCAAGAAAACTCAGACACTTTGAGGGATTTGTCACTGTCCGGGAACAGAGCAACTGTACCTGTATTAGCATCCTGCATTGTGCAAAGTAAGCGGCCTATGAGGCAGGATTTAACTAAGGGCAGTCAAAAGGTCTACCTGCCCTAAAATACCTTACTTAGCTAGCTATGGTACCTGAAATTTTCACCACTGTATAACCCTTAAGAAGTGGTATGTAGGATTAACAGACAGTTTTATTGAGTTAAGGTATTAAGTTTCCTGGCAACATTTAGACATAGGAAGGATTCATTTAACTAATAAATTACATTATAATGTAACAGTTCTAACGAAAGGATCGCAGTCTGTGTCACTCTGTCTAGGGTAGACCATGATTAGACAATATTTTAGATTTTTAATATAATGCCCACTATGGTTCCCTCTTCAGGTTAAGAACAATCCAGTCTCCATCCTAATCAAGTTCTCTATAGAATCTAAATACAAGGTTGTAAAACCATGAGTGAAAAAGTGACAATACCTGTAACCCAGAAATTGCTGTAGGATATGGTGAGAGTGCTGTTGAGCCTAAATTCCTTCCAAGCAGAGGGGTCATAGGGGTGCTACTGGTGGTGTGGGTAGCACGCCAGTATGCCTCAAGGTACTCTCCCAGATGTTCACACGCATCCTCAAGCTGATTTTCATCCAGTATAACATCAAACATTTCCTGTAGGTGACAAGAAAATCCATTTCATTTCCATTTTAAATTCTGGACTATGAAACTTAAAATTCTACTTAATAGCATTTCTAATATTTAAGAAAAAGCCAACTAGTTGCTTTTGAGTAGATTCCAACTCATGGTGACCCCATGTATTGCAGAGTAAATTGTGCTCAATAGTGTTTTCAAGGCTGTGACCTTTCGGAAGCAGATTGCCAGGCCTTTCTTCCAAGGTGCTTCTGGGTGGGTTAATATTCAAGCGCTTAACTGTTTGCACCATCCAGGGACTCCTTCTAACATCTAGTAACTCAAATTCTAGGGGATATATCGACAGTTTCCGAAGCTACAGTAAACAGTTTTGCAGCAGGATTTACATCTACTTTCTCTCACCACCTCCACCCACACAGTAGTGGGTTGAATAATGGCCCTCTAAAAGTCATGTCAACCCGGAACCAGTGAATGCAATCTTATTTGGAAAAAGTATCTTTTCAGACGTAATTAAGGCAAGGATCTCAAGATGAGATCATCCTGGATTAGGGTGGGCCGTAAATCCAAGTATCCTTATAAAGAGAAGAGATGGGCAAAGGACACAGACAAAGCCTTGTAAAGACATAAGCAGAGTTTGCAATTATACAGCCTCAAGCTAAAGAATGCCTGGAGCTACCAGAAGGGGGAAGAGGCAAGGCAGGATTTTCTCCTAGAGACTTTGGAGGGAGTATGGCCCTGCTAACACCTCAATTTCAGATTTCTGGCCTCTCAAACTGTGAGCGAATAATGGCTGTTGTTTTTAAGTCACCTAGTCTGATAATTTGTAATGGCAGCCCCAGAAAACTAATACACCCATCCACCTGCTTTTATGAGCTTGTATTAAAAACAGAAGAAGAACTTCCCAGCAATGAATCAAATACCGGGTTACTGCCACAAGCACTGATACTGCTGGCTGGGTTTTAGGTTAATGGCAACTGGTTGATATTGAGTTGGTAGTGGCTTAGCTGACTCATTCTGTTAAATGTTTAGAAAATCCTTGTTTGCCTTGAAGAAGAAGTCACCATGGAAACTATCTCTCCTCCAACATTTACTACTGAAATGTTTTCATCACATCAATCTTTACTGAAAAATTTGATCCTAATTTGGAAAGCAGTTTGCAGATCCTTGGAGCAGTGAGAAATCCTCATCAACCAGGAAAAGAAGGAGGTAAATTTAGTCTAAACTCTGACAGTGTTTGAGAAGACTCAGTTAGTTCAACTCATGTAGAAAACTCTACCATTGTGACCCTACACATACACAAAGGAACATTGGTAGATTTTAGATGTTTTGCATTATTTTATTCATTTACAAAATATTTACTGAGCACCTATTTTGTGGATTTAACATTGTGGATTTACAGTGGCAAAGAAAACAGACAACATCCCTATTCCCAAAAAGCATTATAGTCCAGTCAGAGAGACAAGTATTAAAATCCATAATGATCTATGTCACACGGGAACTTTAATTCAGAGCAGTGAAGAGACTGAGCCAGTTAATATTCAGAGCGGAAGGAAGCTAGAGAGACATATGAAAGTTGAATTCACGAGACAGCAGAAATTATGAGTAAGTCAAAGAATTTTATCTGTACTGTACAGGGAAGTGAATAAAACAGATGAACGAAACAGACACAGTGGAAGAAAGAGACCATGTGGCCCACGAGAGACAGGGAAATTGCTAGGCTCTAGGGTTTCGGTCAGCATAAATCCTTATACAAAAATGCCCTTTTTTCATTAAAGTACCTCAAGGGAGTTTCTGTCTTTTGCAATCAAAAGCCCCCTCCTCCACTGTTATGGCTTGAACTGTGTTCCCCCCAAATATGTATCCAAATCTTAACCCTTGTAGCTATGGATGTGATCCTGTTTAGAAATAGGGCTTTTCTTTTGTTAAAAGGTCATGTCAGAGTAGAGTGGATCCTAAACCTGATGACTTCTGAGTTATAAAAAGAATAGACTAGACATACACACACACACACAAGGGAAGACAGAAACCATGTGAGGACTGTCTATAAGCCAAGGAACGCCAAAGAACCAAGGAACTCCTGAGGTTACCAATAAGGAAAGAATTGACATGGCCTAGACCCTGATTTGGACTTTTAGCCTCCAGAAGAGCTGTGAGAAAATAGATTTCTGTTTTTTAAAGTCACCTACTTGTGGCATTTGTGTTACAGCAGCACCAGGTAACTAAGACACCAAATGTAATATAATCTTTCAACAATTACAACTACAGAATCTGAGAGTTATCCATAACGGCTCGGATATAAAAAGTGGCATGGCAGTGTTGACTTGAGTGGGACAAGAACAGCCCCTTCCCAAACAGCATCCACAGACTCAGATGATACAAGAAGAAAGGAGAGGAAACTGGGCAGCACTGGAATAAAGGACCACTCTCTCAGCCACTCCAGGTGTAAGCTTTTCAGGAATTCCACACCCTTTGTAACTTGGAGTCTGTTGCTCATATAATTTTACTTTTGTTAACTATATGATGCAGTTACACAGTTCTCAGTCTATACTGAGGTCTGGCTGGTCTCCACATGTCATTTTATTGCTTTCATAAAATCCCCAATGAAAGAATCCTCCAGAGATATCTGGACTGAGTGGGTGCTGACTATGACACGACTGCAAAGCCCAGAGAGGACAAAACCAGGTAAGCAGCACCCACTGCAGACTGTTATTTGAATGAGGTTTATAGCTACATTGTTAAACACATTACATCATCACTGCTGCAGACACAATTACGCATACATTTAATTACAAGTAATTTCAGTAAAGTACTTCTCTTTGCCAATGGGTAGAATTTGTACGTATCAGCATATGGCTGTTTGCTTAAGACTCAATCATTTCTAGGAAACTATACTTCTGCACTACTAAAAGACTGCTTGATGGAAGATGATTTGAAACTCCTTTTAGGCGTTCAAAAGCACAGAGAAAAGCAAATTTCAACTTCTGGATGAATACTGACATATGCAACTTATTTTCAACTAGGAAGAATTTCACAGCCTGTATCTCTGACAATTTTTCTTTTCATCTGTTTAGGAAATACAGCTGAGTAGACCGAAATGCTAGGGGAAAAAAAAAAACACTTTACTTAAACAAGATATTCAAAGAGAAACAACCCAATGAATTATGCAAACCGACTTTGCCAATTTTTCATAAATTTAAAGGTTCCAATCTCATCAGTTCCTGACTGTGCGATATGTGAGTGCCCCAGCATGAGATATGGATACAGAGAGTGATCTTAACAGAAGAGGGTATGGATACCGGGACAATCACAGGCAGTGGGAATAGTAACCCTTTCAATGATGTCATGCCTTTGGTGACGGTCAATGACAAGGGAATATGGGTAATGCTGAGCTGCTTTCAAAAGCACTGCTATAATGATCTCCTCTGACATTTTGTGATGGGATACTTTCTTCAACAGAGGCAGGCAAAATTAGCGCAGCTGCTAAAGTAAATAAGTAGTAAACAGGGGAGTCAATACAAATCATCAGAAAAATCAGGCACAGTATATCCCTTTTCTGAATAAGCTATTTCGGGAAAATTAAAAAATAAAGTATTATAAACAAGAAGAGGGAAAAACATGCCTCTAGCTCATCCAGTTGGAGCCCTTGTAGCACAGTGGTTAAAGAGTTCAGCTGCTAACCAAGAGGTCAGCAGTTCGAATCCACCAGTCGCTCCTTGGAAACCCTATGGGGCAGTTCTACTCTGTCCTATAGGGTCGCTTGAGTTGGAATCAACTTGAGGGCAATGGCTTAGTTTTTTGGTTTTTAGCTCACCCAGTAGTTCAGGGAACTGAAATGGCAGGGAAGTAAGAAAGGGAAAGAAGGACGCTGAATGAAATGCATATGAAGATATGCAATGTCTATTTTAAAATTACAAGTATTTAAATGTCTTACTCTTCATTTACAGAGCAAGATGTCACAAACTACCTGAATTAGGGTGACCAACAGTCCTGGTTTGCCCAGAACTGAGGTTTCAGTGCTAAAACTAGGGGAAAAAAACAAACAAACCCAAACCAAACCAGCTGCCATCAAATCAATTCTGACTCATGGCAACCCCATGTGTGTGAGAGTAGAACTGGGGGTTTTCAATGGCTGGTTTTTCGGACGTAGATCAACAGGCCTTTATTTCGAGACACCTCTGGGTTCACGTGAACCTCTAATGTTTTGGTTAGCAGCCAAGTATTTGCATTACCCAGGGACATTCAAAACTAGGGAAATCCTGGGCAAATTGGAACGGTTGGTCCTCCTACAGGCTAGAGGGCTTTTCAGTGCCTACATCCAGGATTGCAGCAAATTCCACTTGTTTCTTTTTTAAAATTTTTGGTGAAAATATACACAGCAGATCACAAACTCACTCAACAATTTCTAAATTTACAGTTCAATGACATTGGTTGTATTCTTCATGTTGTGCCATCATTCTCACCATCTCTCCCCATATTATCATTACCACTGATTTAGACTCACTGCCCAGTAAGATACTCATCTAGGTTTTAGAGTTACTGTTGTCAGTTTGATCTCATATAGATAATTCTTTAAAACAGCACACTTTCTTTACTAATTCAGCAGAAATGTTGTTTAGTTTCAAGATGATTTTAGGGGATAGTTTCAGTTCAAGGTTCAAAACTTTTTTCTGGGCAACAGATTTGGGGGTTCCTCCAGCTTTAATGTGTCTAGTAAATCTGAGTTCTATAAGAAATTTGAAATTCTATTCCAATTTTCCCCCTTTCGATCAGGATTCATCTATTGAGTCCTTGATCAAAAAGTTCAGTAGTGGTAGCCAGGCACCATCCAGTTCTTCTGGTCTCATGACAAAGGAGGCAGTTGCCTCCATGAACCACCTCCATTTATTTCTTATAAATTATTCTGGGAGGGAATATAGAGGGATGAGCAGGCAAGTTTTCCTTCATGAGTATGAAATCTCTATTTTCTAGCATAGAGGAGAAAATCTTGTTAAATCTAATGTACACTTTCTAATAATGTTATC